ATTTCCAATACGGTCTTAAATGTTCAAAAGTGGCAAGAAATTTGTGAAATATATAGTTTGTTGTACTGAGCATTAAAATATTTTAGCAATGCTTAGGGGGCAGGAAGAAGATCAAGATAGTTTTGTGAGGGAAGGTAAGTACCTATCAGAAATACATTTAGTAGATGTACAATGAAGTATATTGGAGGGGGAGAGAGACAGACAGAGAGAGGTGAGAGATTTTACTCACCATTACAGTGCAGGAAAACTTTGAAGAAAAGTTATTTGCTACCAAAATAATGTGATGTAATTTGTAGTAACCAATTACAACAATCAATTGTGACTGTTATTCACCTCAAATAAACTGCATTTTTAAATCTTAATGTTGTGTATTAATACAAAAAATACTATAATAAAAGTAATGTATTATTTGAAATGTTATTGGATTTTAGAGCAAAGAGGGCTTGTATGACTGGAGGCACAAGGAATTCAATATAAAATTTAAAGTAATAACTACTAAGCAGAGTGACAAAATCTGGAGTAAAGGCGAGGGTAACAACAATGCCTATGATTTTACTTGATAGAAATGAATAAAAACCCTATAACCTGGGTGCTTTCGAAAGGTCCACTTTTTGAAAGCACTCAGGTTATAGGGTTTTTATTCATTTCTATCAAGACTTCTTGAACCTATGTGTTTTTATAACATCATGTATGATTTTACTTATTACTGGTGCATCAAACAAATTAAATTTATTTGTTCCTTAATACCTGCTTAAGTGATCTGAGTTTCAAGCAACATGTGTGCACTACCCAAAGGAAAGGTGAACTTAAGAAGTAACTAAATATTTCTGATGTTAATTAACATGATTGTTCACAGATTGAATTTATAGAATATTTTTCTTGATCTGCCAGACACAATGTTTGGATCATCAAGGATTTTCTCAATGTCTTCTTGAAGGACATTGCCAGAGGATTTATAGAGTTCTTCTTGTCCTGGCAGTGACTCAAGATATCTGACAGACAAAGGAATTGACACTTATGATGCAGGCTGATAGAACATGGTTTCTAGTCTTCACAAGGACAAAGGATCCTGTACTGAAGCTATGGTTGTTTGCAGTGTTTCCTTCACAGACAGTCTCTTTTTTTTTCTCTTCTGGCACTGGACTGCTGTCTTTTGTTTATTGGTTTCCAGAAGAGGCACCAACTACTAGGAGTTTACAGATGTTGGCATCAGAAAGAATTTTTTTTGTTAATACTTTTTTTGGCTTTGGAGTAAGTGTCCCAGAACTGGCACCTGAATGGAATGAAGTTTTGAGGTGTGTTTTTCAAGAAACTCTCCCAGCTCATTTAAGAAGGAGACATCTGCATTTATGGATGCATCATTAGTGTTGTCAGGCCCAGTTGTTTGTTTTTCAACAACGAATTGAGATCATCACTGGTGGAAAGAGCAGTCTCCTCAATGCCATCATTCTCTTTGTCCAACAGTTGCTTCAATTTCATGACCTTCTTCACTCCATCTTTTAGTTACAAAACCTTTTGGAAAAGTTATCTTCACTAATTCTTTCACACTAATGGGTGGCTTTGACTTCAAAAGTTTGCTGAAAGAGGCTATTTGGTTGTTCTCTCAGTTGCTCCAACAGTGCATTTTCTAGTTCTCTGTACTTTGCATTCAAATGATGATGGACATGAGTGTCAATAACATGAACATTCCCAGTAATGCCTCTGTCTATGATAAGGATGTATTCTCTTTCAAGGAATTTCTTGCTGACTTCTGTGCAGTGGATGGAGTAGTCATCCAAAATGTAGATCGCAAAGTCTTTTTGCGAGAACATGTTGAACCTATTCTTCGGGTGGCTGATGGTTTCAAGCACTGTTTCAAACCTGTATGAACCTTTTGGAACCCACTGTATGTGAGTACCTGCTGGGAGGTTCAATTTGGTTTGAGTGCCCTTTCCTTTGAAGACAGATTTAGGTGTTAGCTTGGAGTTTGACAGTTCAGTAGAGACCTGTGGAAAGAGGTACTTCTCTTTGATGTATGTTGGCTGACCACTGAATGTTAGTGTTTTCTGATTTGAAGACTCATTCTTATGCAGGGACATTTGATCTCCATTTATGATTATAGGCTCCTTCTTGAAGCTAGTCAGAAAGAAAATATGGACTCTACAAATGTTGTTCAAGAAGTCCACAATTCTCTCAACCCTGTCATTCTGTGAGAGAGCAAATCTTTTGTTGGGTTTTTAAAACTCAACTGATATTCCCTTATCCACCCTTGGATCCATCTTTAGGAAAACTGTAACTTGTCCTTTTCATCAATTGGTTCTTTTTGTGTGTCTAGCCATTGTTGATGAGGTTCTGTGCACTTTGCCTTGAATATCTTCACAGGCAGATGCTCTTTGAGAACCCCTCTCACATCTGTAAGCCAGTCAGATGTTATTTGTCTTACTTCTTCAGTTTTACACTTCCTGCTACCAGCATATGCTCTAAACCTCTGTGTCTTTTTAGGCTCAATTGTCATCATCTTCATCCTTCTCAGATTTTCTTTTCAGATTTTTGTAATGCCGTCTTGCCTTTTCTACAGCTCTTCTAAACCTTTTATCAGAGAAATTTGCATCTTTCAGGGAAGGAAACATTTCTCTAATCACCTTAGATAGTAATACTTCTGTGGGCATTTGTTTTACATACCTTTTTTTAGCTGTTGGTGTCAGTGCATTGATGAAGTTGAAACAGCATCATCATTCTGTGCTTTATATTTAGCACACAGCTCTGCCATTTTCTACTTGTCATCTGACATGTGTTTATCATATTTTGAGTAGAAAAAGTCAACCATTGTTAATTGTGTTTACAGCACTGTGCTGACAGATGACAAAAAGCTAAAAAGGGAAGTAAGTAAACTTTTGTCTGGAAAATGAAAACTAGCAGTTGTGCCAAAAAACAAACAGCATGGGCCTAGAGTGTGCATTATTTTTAGTCTGGAATGTTAGTTGGGGTAAGATGATTGGTTGACCGATAATTGGTTTTCTTCGGCCTAATGCCAAAGAGTTAAATATTCATTGAGCATAGAGGGGTGGTCATAATTGAGTTATATGTACCAATACCGATCTGCTGATCTGTGACTCTGTAAACCTCAGTGTATTCAATATGCATTTCGATTAAAGAGCTCAGCGAGTTGGAGAGTTCCACTGAGACGAGCCAACTTTAATTGTCACTAGCTGTGCATGCCATTTCTGTGTATGAAGGCTAGGCCTAGTTGCATTGACACAGCATAGCATAAACTGAAAGGGAAGTGACAATGAGCAAATAGAATTAAGCATAGGCTTGAATGCCATTAAAATGTGTATACAATTAACCTAATAGTAGATTCCAAAAAATTATTCTGATTTTTTAACTTGCAATTTTTGATGACCAGAAGAAAAAAATGCATACACAAGATGACCAAAAAATAGTAATCATACAGGTATGTTTATTTGGAACATGAGAATACTAGTACAAAATGTAATTGCAAGTTGTGCTTCAATACTAGAACTTGAGAAAGGTACAACAGATTTATATACTAAAGTAAATGACAGGTGATAAAGTTGTATACAACACTGATATTAATAATAGGCTTATTTTGATCCTTGAAACATTGTTCATTCAGTTTAGAGTGTCAAAGAAAAACTTTTTTACATGTGTGTGTAGAACTATTTAAAGTATCAAATGTCTAATGCATTCAAACAATTGTTTTTTATATTATTTCCTATTTGTATGCTAGGCAGAAGATTTACCATATTTTTCGGTGTATAAGA